TTCTCCTTCACTACCTCACTAACAACTATTCCTACTCACCCACTAACAACCACTCCTACCCCCACACTAACAACCTATCCTACTCCCTCACTAACTTCCACTCCCACTCCCTCACTAACAACCATTCCTACTGCCTCACTTACAACCACTCCTAGTCCTTCACTAACTACCACTCCTACTCCCTCACTAACTACCACTACCACTCCCTCACTAACAACCATTCCTACTCCCTCACTAACAACCACTCTTCCTCCGTCACTAACAACCACTCCTACTCACTAACAACCTATCCTACTCCCTCACTAACTACCCCTCCCCCTCCCTCACTAACAACCATTCCTACCCCCTCACTAACAACCACTCCTACTCCCTCACTAACAACCACTCCTACCCCCTCACTAACAACCTATCCTACTCCCTCACTAACTACCACTCCCACTCCCTCACTAACAACCATTCCTACTCCCTCACTTACAACCACTCCTAGTCCTTCACTAACTACCACTCCTACCCCCTCACTAACAACCACTCTTACTCTCTCACTTACTACCACTCCTACCCCCTTACTAACAACCACTCTTACTCTCTCACTTACTACCACTCCTACCCCCTCACTAACAACCACTGTTACTCTCTCACTAATAACCACTCCTACTCCCTCACTAACAACCACTACTAGTCCTTCAATAACAACCTCTCCTACTCCTTCAACAACCATTCCTACTCCTTCTCTAACAACCACTCCTACTACCTCACTAACAACCACTCTTACTCCCTCACTAACAACCACTCATACTCCTTCTCTAATAACCACTCCTACTCCCTCACTAACAACCATTCCTACTCCCTCACTAACAACCCCTCCTACTCCATCACTAACAACCACTCTTACTCTCTCACTAATAACCACTCCTACTCCCTCACTAACAACCATTCCTAGTCCCTTACTAACAACCACTCCTACTCCTTCTCTAACAACCTCTCCTTCTCCTTCTCTAACAACCACTCCTACTCCTTCTCTATCAACCACTCCTACTCCTTCTCTAACAACCTCTCCTTCTCCTTCTCTAACAACCACTCCTACTCCTTCTCTATCAACCCCCTCACTAACTACCACTCCCACTCCCTCACTAACAACCATTCCTACTGCCTCACTTACAACCACTCCTAGTCCTTCACTAACTACCACTCCTACCCCCTCACTAACAACCCCCCTTCCTCTCTCACTTACTACCACTCCTACCCCCTCACTAACAACCACTCCTACTCCTTCAATAACAACCACTCCTACTCCCTCACTGACTACCACTCCTACCCCCTCACTAACAACCACTCTTCCTCTCTCACTTACTACCACTCCTCCCCCCTCACTAACAACCACTCTTACTCTCTCACTTATAACCACTCCTACTCCCTCACTAACAACCACTACTAGTCCTTCAATAAACTCCTACTACCTCACTAACAACCACTCTTACTCCCTCACTAACAACCACTCCTACTCCTCACTAACAACCACTCCTACTCCCTCACTAACAAACACTACTAGTCCTTCAATAACAACCACTCCTACTCCTTCAACAACCATTCCTACTCCTTCTCTAACAACCACTCCTACTCCTTCACTAACAACCACTCCTACTCCTTCTCCAACAACCATTCCTACTCCCTCACTAACTAACCACTCCTACTCCCTCACTAACAACCACTCCTGCTCCCTCACTAACAACTCTTACTCCCTCACTAACAACCACTCATACTCCTTCACTAACAACCATTCCTACTCCCTCCCTAACAACCACTCCTACTCCTTCTCTAACAACACTAACTACCACTCCCACTCCCTCACTAACAACCACTCCTACTCCCTCACTAACTACCACTCCTCCCCCCTCACTAACAACCACTCCTACTCCTTCTCTAACAACAACTCCTACTCCTTCTCTAACAACCACTCCTACTCCTTCACTAACAACCACTCCTACTCCCTCACTAACAACCATTCCTACTCCCTCACTAACAACCACTACTAGTCCTTCAATAAACTCCTACTACCTCACTAACAACCACTCTTACTCCCTCACTAACAACCACTCCTACTCCTTCTCTAACAACCACTCCTACTCCCTCACTAACAACTCTTACTCCCTCACTAACAACCACTCATACTCCTTCACTAACAACCATTCCTACTCCCTCACTAACAACCACTACTAGTCCGTCAATAACAACCACTCCTACTCCTTCAACAACCATTCCTTCTCCTTCTCTAACAACCACTCCTACTCGCTCACTAACAACCACTCCTACTCCTTCTCCAACAACCATTCCTACTCCCTCACTAACAACCACTCCTACTCCCTCACTAACAACTCTTACTCCCTCACTAACAACCACTCCTACTCCCTCACTAACAACCACTACTAGTCCTTCAATAACAACCACTCCTACTCCTTCAACAACCATTCCTACTCCTTCTCTAACAACCACTCCTACTCCCTCACTAACAACCCCTCCTACTCCTTCTCTAACAACCACTACTAGTCCTTCAATAACAACCCCTCCTACCCCCTCACTAACAACCACTCCTCCTACTCCCTCACTAACAACCACTCATTCTCCTTCTCTAATAACCCCTCCTACTCCCTCACTAACAACCACTCCTACTCATTCTCTAACAACCACTCCTACTCCTTCTCTAACAACCACTCCTACTACCTCACTAACACCCACTCCTACTCCTTCACTAACAACCACTCCTACTCCCTCACTAACAACCATTCCTACTCTCTCACTAACAACCACTACTAGTCCTTCAATAACAACCACCCCTCCTCCTTCATCAACCATTCCTACTCCTTCTCTAACAACCCCTCCTACTCCCTCACTAACAACCATTCCTACTCCCTCGCTAACAACCACTACTAGTCCTTCAATAACAACCACTCCTACCCCCTCACTAACAACCACTCCTACTCCTTCTCCAACAACCATTCCTACTCCCTCACTAACAACCATTCCTACTCCCTCACTAACAACCACTCCTACTCCTTCTCTAACAACCACTCCTACTCCTTCTCTAACAACCACTCCTACTCCTTCTCTAACAACCACTCCTACTACCTCACTAACAACCACTCCTACTCCTTCACTAACAGCCACTCCTACTCCTTCTCTATCAACCACTCCTACTCCCTCATTAACAACCACTCCTACTCCCTCACTAACAACCACTACTAGTCCTTCAATAACAACCACTCATACTCCTTCACTAACAACCACTCCTACTCCTTCTCTAATAACCATTCCTACTCCCTCACTAACAACCACTACTAGTCCTTCAATAACAACCCCTCATACTCCTTCACTAACAACCACTCCTACTCCTTATCTAATAACCATTCCTACTCCCTCACTAACAACCACTCCTAATCCCTCACTAACAACCATTCCTACTTACTCACTAACAACCATTTCTACTCCCTCACTAACAACCACTCTTACTCCCTCACTAACAACCACTCATACTCCTTCTCTAATAACCACTCCTACTCCTTCTCTAACAACCACTCCTACTCCCTCACTAACAACCACTCCTACTCCTTCACTAACAACCACTCCTACTCTCTCACTAATAACCACTCCTACTCCCTCACAAACAACCACTCCTACTCCCTCACTAACAACAATTCCTACTCCCTCACTAACAACCACTCCTACTCCCTCACTAACAACCATTCCTACTTACTCACTAACAACCATTCCTACTCCCTCACTAACAACCACTCTTACTCCTTCACTAACAACCACTCTTACTCCTTCACTAACAACCACTCCTACTCCTTCTCTAACAACCACTCCTACTCCCTCACTAACAACCATTCTTACTCCCTCAGTAACAACCACTCCTACTCCCTCACTAACAACCACTCCTACTCTTTCACTAACAACCACTACTACTCATTCACCAATAACCACTCTTACTCCTTCACTAACAACCACTCATACTCCCTCACTAACAGCCACTCTTACTCCTTCACTAAAAACCACTACTACTCCCTCACTAACAACCACTCATACTCCCTCACTAACAACCACTCATACTCCCTCACTAACAACCACTCCTACCCCTTCACTAACAACCACTCTTACTCCTTCACTAACAACCACTCTTACTCCTTCACTAACAACCATTCCTACTCCCTCACTAACAATATGTATTGCCACCTAGTCTTTACCGACATCCACACTGTTAATATCCTTACCATCTTCTATTCCAATTTATTCTCGGTAAATTCTATTCAAATTAATCTCCCAATCAACTGCTACTGCCCCTCCTCCTTTCACTAACTTCCACACACAACAGTCTCCTTTCGCTAACTTCCACACACAACAGTCTCCTTTCACTAACTTACACACACAACAGTCTCCTTTCACTAACTTCCACACACAACAGTCTCCTTTCCAACTTCTATTCACTACAATCTCCTACCCGCCAACTCATATCAACCAATCTTCCCTTTTATGTAAACAATAGGAATGTTACCAATAGAAATTTTGTCCTTTCATGTATTTAACTTGGCATGTCATTCCAATCCTGCTCAAGTATTTGCAGTGATAGCTTCATTTTACAAAGTCACAAACAGTGAAAAATACCTATAAAGAGCACCTGTCTTTGAAGACCACATGTATATTAAAACAAACTGTGTATAAACACCTCCTTTTTATAAGACATTCTGTCTACAAAGAACATTTGTATATTAAGAATTTCTGTCTATGATGGCAACTTGTCTATAAAGGCAACTTGTCTATAAAGGATACATGTTTATACAGACTACATGTCTACCACCTGTGTATAAGCTGCTCTCTCTTTTGAGCAGTCTTTATTTAAGGATTCAAATGTATCTCATAATTTCCTTAAAACTGTTCAAACTAAGAATTTATTGATATTCATATATTTTAAAAACTTTCACCTAATTGAGTATACTTTAAATTTGCAGAACTTCTTATACACATGTCAAGAATAGCAGTGAGATAATCTGTAGTGTTGGAAGATATACTGGGAAACAACTTCCATACCGACTCACAGGGGTCAATGTCAGCTATGATGACAGTAGCTATGTCTTAACTAAACAAAACGTCAATTTTACCTTTGTGGATAACCCAAGCATACAGATCGGGCGCTCACAGGCACTACGGAGGTAAGTCAGTAGTATAACAACTATAGTTGTTAATATCACTTCAAATAAACCACAACTATTCTGCAGAATAACTACCCACAACTTTACTCACAGTGGTTCTCTACCATATGTCAATCCAACATAAAGTTCAATAAAGTAGAGAGATGACATCTTGTTTGGCAGGGATGTCAATAAAGTGGAGGGATGATACCTTCATTAACAGTGATGTCAATAAAATGGAGGGATGATACTTTTATTGACAGTGATGTCAATATAACGGAGGGATGATATCTTCATTGACAGTGATGTAAATATAGTGGAGGGATGACAACTTCATTGACAGTGATGTCAATATAGTGGAGGGATGACACCTTTATTGGCAGTGATGTTAATATAGTGGAGGGATGACACCTTTATTGACATTGATGTCCATATAGTGGAGGGATGACACCTTCATTGACAGTGATGTCAATATAATGGAGGGATGACACCTTTATTGGCAGTGATGTCAATATAGTGGAGGGATGATATCTTCATTGACATTGATGTCCATATAGTGGAGGGATGACACCTTTATTGACAGTGATGTCAATATAGTGGAGGGATGACACCTTCATTAACATTGATGACAATATAGTGGAGGGATGATATCTTCATTGACAGTGATGTCAATATAGTGGAGGGATGACACCTTTATTGGCAGTGATGTTAATATAGTGGAGGGATGACACCTTTATTGACATTGATGTCAATATAGTGGAGGGATGACAACTTCATTGGCAGTGATGTCAATATAGTGGAGGGATGATACCTTTATTGACAATAATGTCAATATAGTGGAAGATGATACCTTTATTGGCAGTGATGTCAATATAGTGGAGGGATGATATCTTCATTGACGGTGATGTCAATATAGTGGAGGGATGACACCTTAATTGACAGTGATGTCAATATAGTGGAGGGAGGATACCTTTATTGACAATGATGTCAATATAGTGGAAGATGATACCTTCATTGACAGTGATGTCAATATAGTGGAGGGATGATACCTTTATTGGCAGTGATGTCAATATAGTGGAGGGATGACACCTTTATTGGCAGTGATGTCAATATAGTGGAGGTATGATACCTTCATTGACAGTGATGTCAATATAGTGGGGGGATGATATCTTCATTGACAGTGATGTCAATATAGTGGGGGGATGATATCTTCATTGACAGTGATGTCAATATTGTGGAGGGATGATATCTTCATTGACAGTGATTTCAATATAGTGGAGGGATGACAACTTCATTGGCAGTGATGTCAATATAGTTGAGGGATGATACCTTTATTGACAATAATGTCAATATAGTGGAAGATGATACCTTCATTGACAGTGATGTCAATATAGTGGAGGGATGACACCTTCATTGACATTGATGACAATATAGTGGAGGGATGATACCTTCATTGACAGTGTAATCTGCTTCTATAAGATAATTTCCTTTTTAGAAAAAACTTACTTATTCCTCTCATTTAAATGTTAATCACATTTCTCCTGACCTGATCATGGTAAACTTTAACATATTGTCATCCTGTCTGCACAATGTTGTACTGTGTTTGCATGCTTATTATTCCTTTACGTTGTAACATTTTTTCCCAATAAGCATTGCAATTTTAAAGATGTTTTCAATAGGAAATATTTACATTTCTTCGTACAGTCCTAAGGTAAACCTACCTACCGAAATTGTGAACACGTGAACTGGTAGCCATAGAAAAAACAGTCATGTTCCGCAAAATGTTTGTACCCCAATTTGGTTAAAAATTAACAAATATATATTTTGAACTGAATGAGATCACGTAAGAAAAAAAATATACATTTGTCTTTGTGTTTGGAATGTAAATATAAGGATTGAAAAGCATCTTTTTAGCATTTATGTTAGTATGTAACACAGTTCCGTACAAAATTCTACAAGATGAACTACCCTGTATCATGGAATAATGTTAGAACAGAACGATGTTGCATACCAACATTTCATCATGAGTTGCATGATGTTTGTGTGTTTGAGTAAAATTCCTCCAATTAAAATTAATTTACACTTTCAGTGGTGGAGTAGACATGAACATAACCGGGGAAAGATTCAGAGCCGTCTCGGTCGTAAAAGTAGACAAGGTAGGGTACATTTACAACAACAATATACTGCAGTTCCTAATTTTCATGAATTTGCTAAAATAATCAATTTAGCGAGTTCTGCTTTTGGTGGATTTCAGGTCGTGGTTAGCTTTGGCACATGTACTAATGTGTGGCAGTGATATTATAACATAGAAACAAGAAGGAAGCCATTGTTATGACAAGCCCGTTCCGGGGCTTCACCTCGCAACCCTAAGGAGGTCTAGGGGAAGGCGGTGTAGTGGTATGAGCTGCCCATGTATCTAGCCTCTGCGATTTGGTGGCGTAGGTCGAGACAGGTCGAGAGACATAAACCCTCTTCCTTCGTCCTTTGTGTTTCTATGTAATTTATTCCATTGCTAAACACAATGAATCGTATGCACTAGTCTAACAGCACTGTACCCAAATCGGGCCACTTTTTAGATAAATATCAATGTTCTTAATACCAATATTACTATCAGTTCCAAAAATGTTTGTTCATTTTTCATAAAAAGATACTATCCACTTTTCATTTCTATTACAAGTTGGTATTTTGGGCGCATAGATCTATAAATAGAACACAAAATACTATCAGGGTTACGTACGTAGGCCCTTGAACTGGCGTTACTGTACTCTGAAAGGGACACTATGGTATATTTGGGGATAAACGATCGATATCAGCAGAAGAATATGCATAGTTGAAATATTTTAGAGTCAACAAGGGTTCTGATTAAATTTCTTCCCCAAACTAGCAAAATAGACGGTTGAAAATGATATACAAATAAATAGCGTTGCACGGCACGTAAATCAGAAAAGATTTGTTATGGTAATTATTCTTACCTTTAAATTGTCCATGTAACGATAATCAGCAGCCAATAAAGCTTATATACAGTTAACTTGTCATAAAAGTAATATTGAATGAAAACTAAATACATAAAAGTGCTTCTTTGCATTCATGACAGTTTCTTGGGCTGTTCCCACAAGTGTTCCGTTTTGGGTACTCTCCCGATTTGGGTACTGTGACCTTATGTTGATCGGAAGGTATATTTTAAGATACAAACTACCTGTTGTGATTGGGTCGTGTCTTCCATATATATCTATAGATATTTGTATTATATTTAGAGTATATATATTTGTATGTATGTTGCAGGTTTTATGCAAGGTGGTAAGTGATAACAAAGTGAAATGCCCCGTTCCAGCATACAATTCGTCACGAAGTCGAAGACGCCGCAGCTCCACGACCTGTCCCTGTGGGCAGGTCTCAACCATCCATATGGATAACTATGACTACCGTTTCTACATGCAATTCACAGAAAATCCCACTATCACCCCGTTTACAGACATTGTGAGCTATAAAGCAGGAGGTTTCCTTACAATTGAGGTGAGTTCTTCTTGTAGAAGCCTATGTTATATACTTCAGTAGGAGACGAAAATGTAATGATTTTATTGCCTCGTGTCGACACTGTATGTTAGCCAGTACTGGTTATTCTAACATGTTGGTGATGTAAAATCTCTTTTCATTGGTTAATAACCAGGCTATCTTGATGAAAAACTATAATAACAGTTAGTTTTCATATAGAACTGCCATATAGTAGGTGTTGATATTATAGTATTATATTGTAGGTGTTAATATTATAATACCATATAGTAGGTGTTGATATTATAGTATTATATTGTAGGTGTTAATATTATAATACCTGGATATACAGTAAAATTCCGCTAACTCGTACTCATGGTGACCATGATCAAAAGGTCGAGGAATATTATGGTATTTGTTGAATCCGAGGTTCGTCAGACATCGTCATGTTTGCACTGCAAATATCTCGAATAGAAAATGATAGAAGGAAAAATTAGTTTAATAAAGATGACAACATTAGATAGGATAAAAAAATGGCTCAACAATAAAAACATAGTATAGCCATTGGTATGATGAAAGGAGTAAAATAATGAAGTTGTATATTTAATGTACTTGTTGTTACCGATAGACATAGTCCGCCATACTGCATTTAGCTAATGTTCATTTTACAAAATATTAAAGCGAGAGGAACACTTTCTATCATTTTTGAAATGAAGAAACTTGGGAATCCCTGTTGTTATAATGTTGATTGATAACCAAAATAAACAATCATGACATATTCAAGTTTGAATATCTGTAAAGATGATTGAAAATCTGCTATGTGATTTCCACTTAATATTGCCATGCTGAAATATGGTTTAACACATCCAGTAAATTAACATTTCTTTTAAAACATTTCTGTCAAACATTGTCGGGAAATAATAAAAGTATGCACATAACCTGTACAGGTACTCAATGATACTGCCGTTATTCCTTTAATTATCTGACCTCCGACCAACACCTGTATAAACAGAATGAGTGTGGACCGCAGCCTGTGTCTAGCAGCATGTCTAGCGGTATGTGCAATACACAGGTCAGAGGCTAATGAACAGATAGATTAAATACTAAGGTTTTGAGTGGTTTGGGATAAATCAGAGTTCGAGGAACACAGGGTATTTGAGCAATGGCAGTTTAAGTAATCTAAGGTTAATTTACAAAGAATATATATATAAGAACACGGTCGGGACCAAGCGAACTATTCAAGGAATAGGGGGTATTCAAGTAATGCGAGTAAGTGGGGTTTTACTGTAGTTGGTGTCAATATTATAGTATTGTACAGTAGGTGTTAATATTATAATACCATATAACATATACTAAAGGCATCAATTTTAAAATTTGTAAAAACAGAAAAATCCTATTGGATAAATTGACATTAAAAGTTAAAACTTTTCACATCAAGGCTCATTTGAACTCACCTGTGGTGATCTTATGCGATGACAATATGTCCTTCTGCCATCTGTCCATCATAAACTTAAATCCTTGAAAAGCTATTTATCAAGAATGGCTGAAGGAATTTGACTAACGTTAATGCAGGCGATTTCGTCACATTAGTAAGGGTTGCAGTAAATTATTTGTCCAAAAACACCTGTATCAAAACGCCGATGAGCACCAGTACAGAAGAAGATTTGACTGAAATGCCTATAAATAAATATTGTTGTAAACACGCCTGAATGACGTCACGCAGCAACATATGTGACGGGACATCAGGCCTTCCGTGGTTTTGCTCAAAGCTAGGTGCAGGCATTTTTCGCCACATACAAACATTACACTTATTTGCAAGTACTGTAAGTGTTTCAATGTAACATTTTGTATGTTTATGTTACACAAGTCGTGCTGATACGAAGCTCCAAATGCGTGTGTGTAACAATGTTTAACTATGAAATAAATGGCTTTTCTTAGTTGTGATAGTTAATTTTCGGTAACTTGAAGAAACTGATTAATGCTGTTTGAGTAAGATGGCTGGGACCAGTTGAGATGAGGTGCATCACAATAAAGGCTCAGTCTTGAACAAATTTAAACTTCAAAATTGGTGCCCCCGACTTTTGGATAATTTGTCACATCCGATCGTCTTGCACATCAACGGAAAACATATCTCACAAACTAAAACAATTTTTTGGGCTTGAAAACATATTCAACAGAGACTAACCCAGGCGTTGTAAATGTACTTACATGTACAAGTACTTTTTCATGTAAAAATCAGTCTTTGGTAACTTTCAGTCTCTTTCGTAATCATCAGCGATAGTACAGCAGGTAACGTAGTCGTACTCGGACTTTCAGGCCGACATAAATTTAGCAATTTTCTAGATGGTATTGTAATTAAAGTGTTGTAAGATGGCTGAAAATTAGACGCAAACAAAACTTTGTAAAAAATACTGGTTGATTGTTCTCTAACTACATATTGCGTGAAAATGGAAAATGAATTATCAAATGTTTCTGAGCGTCCATTTCCATCAACAAGCATTGGGTCGTCAGTATACATGGTATATATACCAAAGTACACTTCTAGTAAAACAATTTACTTGCATTGATGGCTCAGTCGACCATAAAACTGCAATTAGCATTGAGATATGGTTATTTACAATTTGTATGTCATGCATCTACACTAAATCACAACCAACAGGCCTCAGATTAATGAGTTTAGTTGAGATGTATGTCGCACAGACCAATTTTTTAAGATTCGTTACGTTACAAGTTATTTCGGTCATGACTGTTTTGATTAATAAAATTACTTTTTCCTTATACCTCTTCTTGTCAAAATGTTTGTGGGCTTTAATTGTGTTGAAGACTATGGTGACTTTATTTACGTATTTAGGTACATGGCGAATTTGCCTGCGCTAAAGTTATACTAATTGGTCAAATGAACCAAGGGAATTTGATATTTTAAAAGCAAAGGATATGGTTTTCTGGAAAATCATGGTTTTTAACACCCAGTACTTCTTGAATATGGGAAAGGGGATTTTAATCTCAAATGATCTGGAACATCCTTAGACCAAAGGGATTCAGGTTCGCATAAATGGAGGATGTGGCTTAATTCAAAGAGCAGAAGGGTGAGGTCCAATAGGGGGACTATAGGAAAACCTTTAAAATCATACTCCTTAAGTAGGCGTAAGAAATGTTACCATTATTCGGTTTGAAGCATCCTTTGGGAAATTTAGTTAACATTGTGTAAAGAAAGAGTGTCAATGCCCTGTAGGGATTAAGGCCTAATTGCAGAAATATAGGAAAAGATATAAAATCCTTTTCCTTATTTACTGGTTAAAGGATTGAATCTCAATTTGTCTGGAGCATCCTTGAGCCATTAGGATACACATCATTGTAGGAGGGTGTGGCTATCCTGGGGACATGAGGGTGCCAAGGGGAGGGTGTGGCTAACATGGGGACATGAGGGTGCCAGGGCCTAATTGGCGAACATAGGTAAATCCTATTTCTTGATTACGGATAAAAGTAAAACTAACTTAATTTGACCTGGAGGATCCTGAGGTCCTCATAGTAAGAGCTTGAAGGGGAAAAAGTAATTATAATGAGGCAATCGGTAAACTCTCCTAAGAAATGGTTCTATTAAAAAAAACTGATTTTATTAATGAATGTCTATTGTCAGATTGGTTACGATATTAAGTACATACACTTTGAGATTTATTGAACACATATTCATTTATAAATGCAGTAGTATTACAAATTCTATCAACAATGCTAAAAAACCATACCGTGAGTTATGCAAAATTGGCATTCACACAACAAGTTTATGAAATATGTTCTTGAAATCCATTTGTCTATTTTGTATAAAACAAGAGGCCCAGAGGGCCTGTATCGCTCACCTGTTTCTTTTGTTACATGCAACTGACATATAGGTAACTTAAGACCAAATTTGGTAACTAGAACACAAGACATTTTAACATCTCTTAAACAGTTCTGAAGATATTGTTGTTTGAAACTTGAAATTTGGATTTTAAAGCTTTTAACCCATATTGACCTTTGATCCCCGACTAGCATTTAAAGTTGACCTTTGACTTCATAACTGTAACTGAGAAAAATATTTGAACTGCTGGTCTACATTACATACCCAAGTATCATGACTCTAGTTCAAATGGTTCTTAGGATATTGTTGTTTGAAATTTTTAACATATTTGACCCCTGTGACCTTGAAAGTAGGTCAAGGTCATTTTAATGAGGGAACTTAATAGCACTCCATCCAAGGTACCTACTGACCAAATATCATGACCCCAGGTCATACAGTTCCTCAGAAGAAGTCGTTCAAAAAATAAAGTTGATAGACGGACGACGGACGCCGCAGTACGGCATAAGCTCACATGGCCCTTCAGGCCAGGTGAGCTAAAAAACTATAGCAGATGATCATGAGCTCTTATGGCCCCTGTGCCTCTTATTATCAACACCATTTTAGTGGTATCAGCCCCCTGGAGCTTCTGTTGTATATATTTCCTCATATACAAGCTGATGATTTTGTGGCTCAAAGTCGTCGGTGAATATAAGGTATAAAACCATTCATTTTAGACAGATTTTGCTTAATTGTATGCTGTAGTATCTGTGGACTTTTAAGACACAGTAAACCAGGTTGATATTCCAGTTATACTGTGAAGGAAAACATAGATATTATCAATCAATAGAAATCGGATTTTGATGTTTTTGGAAAAAAATAATAATAATAATAATTCAGAAATGAAAAGCGAGAAATTAAGAAGATAATTTTAGAACTACTATTGAAGTGATTAAAAGAATTGGTTCATATTATAATTATAGAGGATACTGGCAAGAGCACACTTGTAAGACCAACAAAATATACATATATGATATAATATCGTTCCATTGAACTTTGCCAACACGATATGAACCACATCATTCCAATGGATTGAACCAACACAGTTTTATATATATATACTTTCCTGGACTATGCCTACACTGAAGGTAAATTAAATGGGTCAGTGGTGCGAAGTAATATAGGTTACTCATTCACCCCTGAAATTTCATAATGACCTATTCCAACCTTTGAATTGGAAGAGTTCAAATGTGTCTTCAGGGGTGAATGAGTTAATGTAAGCATTAATTAACTAAATAAGGGGATTATGTTTTGTCTTAACAACAGTACGAGTTAAAAAGATCTGAAAACTACAGTGTACAGCTATAGTCCAAACAGAGTCTGACAAATGGGCTAACCAACAGACAAGAAAAAGAAACTTCTATCGTACCTGCCTAAAATGTTTAATGACGACAAATAACAAAACTGAATCGGATGCTAGAAGCATTTACAAATAAACAAATGACGATTTCCTAGCCAACTATTTATCTGTGGTCATAACATGGCTTTGATATCCAAATTAGACAATCTATGCAGCATGAAAAGAACATTAGTGTACGGAAAATTGGGAGAAAAAACACTGCATACTGTGGAACTGACAACTATTGACAAACAGAATCCTTGACCCGAGTCACAACCGCTACCCTGGGTGGAAACAAGTACAATCAAACACAAGAAATGAGAGCCATACCCCCAGTCTAAAATCTCGTGATAATTGATTCATAATAACAACAACAAATAGCCAACGCCACGTCCCGGCTAATCTATAGGCCTCTAGTACAGCCCCCACTAACAGAATAAATATACTTCCATAAGCCTGCCTGGTTGAGATTTACTCCGTCAGAATGTAAACATGTCTCCAAACCATTGGTAAGTGCCTTATGTCTCCAATAAAAACAGCTAGCAGGAGCCATGCACACATCTTCTTTTTCTGTCTATTGATTAAGTCCATTCGCTGCATCATATTGCCAAACCCACACCTGTCTAGTCCTTTCCCTATGAAGCAACTGCATAATGCCAACACAGCCGACACATAATACTGCCAAAAGCCACTGGGCAACAGAAAATTATCTTGTGCCAAATTAGCCTAGATCACAGGGAAGTCAGTATACTGTCCAAGTCATTACCCCCTGTCTGTTGTACAACAACAACTGTGTGTATCTCGGAAACCTCAGAAGACAACGGCCTGTCGTACAAATGTTTCAAGTCTTTTGCCGCCTTTCCTGATGCAATGAACCGTCTATGGCGGGTTGAGGCCAAGGTTTAACCAGGCACCCTTTAAAGCATGCTGTAGATGAAAAACAGAACTATGACCTAATGACCTAAGATTATAAATCACATCACTATGATCAGACATTGTCATCGAAAAGGTTCTGCAGTGATCATGAGTTTATAATGATACTTTTGTAATTTGGTTGGTTGGTTGGAGGGTTTAGCGCCTACATGAATCCGCCCTTTCAGGTTTCATCTCACTGATGGAAGTCGGTGTTTTGTCAGCGTGTACTTTTGTAATGATTATACTGACCTTAGCTTTTGACCGCTCAAAATTTAAAAACAGGTTCCAGTGATAAAGTGTTTTACTTTTTGGCTAGCTTTTGAATGCTTTTGGCTTTCTTAAAATTTAATCCACCTGACCTAACCAACCCCAACTCCTCGCCATCACCTTCCTCGTCGTGTTTACAAACATACACTTACAAAATATAGTCTGGGAATGGCTATTCAAAAAACATGCTCATACAGGGATCAGTATAAAGTTTATTGAAATGTTTTTATGCCCCCGCCATAAAATGGGGGGGGGGGGGGGGGGGCATATAGTATTACCCATGTCCGTCCCGTCCCGTTCCGATTCAAAGTAAACACTTAGCAACTTCATTCTTTGACAGATTTTGGTCAAACTTTATACAAAGGTCAAGTATGAGCTGTACTTCGGACATCGTTGTATTTCAGGGATCTAAGGTCAAGTCCAAGGTCACACTTGCTATATAGAAAATCATCAACTGATTCAATTTAAACACTCAGCAACTTCATTCTTACATGGATTTTAGTCAAACTTTATGCAAAGGTCAAGTAAGAGTATACTTCGGACATTGTTGTGTTTCAGGGTTCCAAGGTCAAGGCCAAAGTCACTGTTGCTATATATAGAAAATCATCTACTGATTCAATTTAAACACTTAGCAACTTCATTCAATATGTTATGGAGATGGTAATTGAATATTAAAATTAACTTTAAGTGTAGTACCTTGTGTGTGTGCATGTTTCAGGGTATCAAGATCAAAGTGGTTGTAACATTTTATAGAACACTGAAACTAATTCCACATGGCAGCGGGGGCATTTATGTCTTACAGACATTTTCTAGTTTTTAATCTTGATCTGTGTTGGTTACAGGGTGAGGACCTACTGCGTGGGGCAGTAGAGTCGGACTACATGGTACAAGTCCAGTCTACCAATTGTCATGATGTCAAGGTCAATGCAAATGGCACACTCATCACCTTCAAACCACCCGACTTTTTGTCCGAGGGGAACGAATACCAGGTGGAGGTAAGTGGGCGTTACTGTATTGACCATTGACTTAAGTGTCTTAATTTACCCGGGACATTTATATACACATTTATTACCCTTACTGTAGGGAAACACAATTTTGTATTTCTCCAAGGTTAATCTTGTTTCAGGAGGTTAATCATATTTCACAAGGGCGACGCCCCCCTCCCTGTGAAACATGATTAAGCTTGGGGAAAGCTGTTATAAAGATAAGGTATAATAATAACAAATGTTGCAATTCATCTTCAATTTAGGTATTGGTTGGAACAAGTCTTCGTCAACATGTGGGTATTATTTACTATGAGAAGGACCTGACAACCATCACAATCATTGCTGCATTGGGGGGAACATCGTTGGCCATGTTGGTATTGATCATTATCTGTGTTATACGCAGTCGTAGGAAGGATAAGCAACTCAACAAGCTCAAGACAGACATTGTAGAAATGGAGAGCAACATCAGAAACAAGAGCAGGGAAGGTATGTACTGTCTGAGTTCAGTACAGCAGGGAAGGTACGTACTGTTTGTGTTCAGTACAGCAGGGAAGGTACGTACTGTTTGAGTTCAGTACAGCAGGGAAGGTACCTACTGTCTGAGTTCAGTACAGCAGGGAAGGTACGTACTGTCTGAGTTCAGTACAGCGGGGAAGGTACATACTGTCTGAGTTCAGTACAGCAGGGAAGGTACGTACTGTCTGAGTTCAGTACAGCAGGGAAGGTACGTACTGTTTGAGTTCAATACAGCAGGGAAGGTACGTACTGTCTGTGTTCAGTACAGCAGGGAAGGTACGTACTGTCTGTGTTCAGTTCAGCAGGGAAGGTACGTACTGTCTGAGTTCAGTACAGCTTACTACAGATATTTGAAATCCAAGGAATGACAAAATTGAAGGCTCTTTATCTGACACCTTACAGATAATACAAGTTGACTAGTCTTATGTCTTTGATGAAGGAATCAGCTTCAGGGTTACGGGAATTGAGTCTTGGATTTGTCATGCAATATTCTAAGGGTGCAGAGAAGATGGCTGAACTGAGAGTGGAGCCTTTGGGTTTTGATGTTGTTACAACCCTAGCTATTTACATAGTGATGTGCCGATTGCTGACTATTATACTCACCGTTAACTCACTGTTGTTGACATCATACCATTAGTCTATGACTACTACTTGTGTAACTGGTACACACTCCTGGTCTGTACCTTCCGCTCTGTAGCCTGCAGGGATGATATGAGAATATATGTGTGCTGATTGTAATTTACCTTATCCACATCATGAGAAAGTGTTTCAATGTTTCAGTTTGTGTTGCAGAACTTTCAGTACACTGTACTTTGATTGTGTTTCAGTGTTTGCGGACATGCAGATGAGTATGCAAGATATCAAAGGTGATCTGGTGACCACCGGAATCCCTTACTTTGACTACCACAACTATTCCTTCCACACGCTCTTCCCCAAGCTCAAGGCAGGGGAGAGCATCTACTACCAGGCGAGCGCCACGGTAAGTTCCACCGCTACAGTGTTACTATAAGGTTAAGTTGTGTTGTGTTACTATAAGGTTAGGTCGTGTAACAGTGTTACTATAAGGTTAGGTCGTGTAACAGTGTTACTATAAGGTAAGGTTGTGTTACTATAAGGTTAGGTCGTGTAACATTTATCTCTACAATAACATTTGTAATATTATAAATCTCTCCTAAAAAAATCAGTGTTGATAGTTATAAACTCATTATTTAAAAAAAAAAAAATCTTTAGCTCCCAAAGAGCTATAGCGATACCCCCGGCGTGAGCATCTGCGTGAAAATGTTAAAGTTTGATCTGCAAGTTATTTTGGAGCTTGTCATTCATTAAATATGTTTACTAGGATGCTGATATTTTGCCTATAGTCTCAGGTTCCTTTGGGATAAAATATTGATGTAGTGAAGTTAAAATTAAAAAATAATTTCATTTTTTTTTTAGACTGGGGGGATGCAACATCAGAACATTTTGTCTTTTTTAATTTGTCACCAGTGTTTTGGATTTAACTAACTGTTATCTTATTAGCTATGCTGTAGTTGAGAAGTCATTGCCCTTTTGTATTCAAATCATTATAGACTAGTCCTTCACGTATTTTCATACATTTTTAGCTCACCTGCCCCAAGGGCAAGTGAGCTCATGTCGTGGTGCGGCGTCCGTCGTCCGTCCGTCCGTCCGTCCGTCCGTCCTCGTCCGTCAACTTTTCCTTTAAACAACTTCTTCTGAAGAACAGACAGGCCTAGAGTCATGATATTTGGCTGAAAGCTTTGTTGGTAGGAGCCCTACAAAGTTTGAGAACGAAAATAACCTTGACCTACTTTAAAGGTCACAGGGGTCAAATATGTCAAAAACTTCAAACGACTTCTCCTGAAGAACTAAAAGGTATAGAATCTTCATATTTGGCTGATGGCTTCCTGGGACGGAGCTTAACAAAGTTTGAGAATGAAAATGACTTTGACCTACTTTCAAGGTCACAGGGGTCAAATGTGTCAAACACTTCAAACGAGTTCTCCTGAAGAACTACATAAATGTAAAAGGTATAGAATCTTCATATTTGGCTGATGGCTTCCTGGGACGGAGCTTAACAAAGTTTGAGAATGAAAATGACTTTGACCTACTTTCAAGGTCACAGGGGTCAAATGTGTCAAACACCTCAAACGACTTCTTCTGAAGAACTGAAAGGTATAGAATCTTTATATTTGGCTGATTGGTTTCTGGGATGGAGCCCATCAAAGTTTGAGAATAAAAATTACCTTGTTCTACTTTCAAGGTCACAGGGGTCAAATGTGTCTAAAGCTTCAAATGACTTCTTCTGAAGAACTGAGAGGTATAGAATCTTTATATTTGATTGATGGCTTCCTGGGATAGAGCCCGACAAAGTTTGAGGAAGAAAATGACCTTGACCTTCTTTCAAGGTCACAGGGGTCAAATGTGTCAGACACTTCAAGCGACTTCTTCTGAACAACTGAAAGGTATAGAATCTTTATATTTGGCTTGTAGCTTCCTAGGAAAGAGCCCAACAAAGTTTGAGAATGAAAATGACCTTTACCTACTTTTAAGGTCACATGAGGCAGATATGTCAAACACTTCAAATGACTTCTTCTGAAGAACTGGAAGTTATAGAACCTTAATATTCGGCTGGTTATTTCCTGGGAAAGAGCCCAACAAAGTTTGCGAATGAAAGTGACCTTGACCTACTTTCAAGGTCACAGAGGTCAACAACATTTTAATGGATTTGTTCTTAAGAACTAAAAGGAATGGATTCATAAGATTTGGCTGGTAGCTTTTGGAATAGAGCTTACCAATTTGAGAAGGAAAATGACATTGACCTACTTACAAGGTCACAGGGAAAAATATGTCAAGCAACTTCTGAAGAATCAAAAAGCATAGAATCTTGTAATAATATTTTGCTGGTAGTTTCAACAGATGGAGCCAACAAAGTTTGTGAGGGAAATATTTTTAGTGCAATATAATATTTAATGAGAATATTTTGCTANAGTGCATTATTTGTATCGGTGTCCATCCTGTCAATGTCATGTCACTACCAACTTCATTTCTTAACAGATTTTGATCAGTTCGTTTTGTAACAGATTTTCATCAAAGTTTATAAAAAAGGTCAAGTATGAAAATACCTTTGATAATATTGTATTTCAGCATCCCAAGGTCACAAAACCAAGGTTACTGTTGCTATTAATAATTTTGTTGACAGATTTAAAGTCATCAGCTTATTTGGAGGCAATTGAATTTATGAAAGAGGGAATTAAAAACATCTTTCATAGGAAGCAACAATACAGCAAAAGCATCAGGGTACATTATGTAGAAGAGTTAGTAGTGGCTTAGTTACAGGTCATATTAAGTATTGTAAATTACCAGTGTATCTACTGAACTACAGGTCATATTAAGTATTGTAAATTACCGGTGTATCTGCTCAATTACAGGGCATATTAAGTATTGTAAATTACCAGGGTATCTACTCAATTACAGGTCATATTAAGTATTGTAGATTACCAGTGTATCTACTCAATTACAGGTCATATTAAGTATTGTAAATTACCGGTGTATCTGCTCAATTACAGGGCATATTAAGTATTGTAAATTACCAGTGGATCTACTCAATTACAGGTCATATTAACTATTGTAAATTACCAGTGTTTCTACTCAATTACAGGTCATATTAAGTATTGTAAATTACCAGGGTATCTACTCAATTACAGGTCATATTAAGTATTGTCAATTACCAGTGCATCTACTCAATTACAGGTCATATTAACTATTGTAAATTACCCGTGTTTCTACTCAATTCCAGGTCATATTAAGTATTGTAAATTACCGGTGTATCTACTCAATTACAGGTCATATTAACTATTGTAAATTAACAGTGTTTCTACTCAATTACAGGTCATATTAAGTATTGTAAATTACCAGTGTATCTACTCAATTACAGGAGAATCTCATTAAAAAAGTCTATAGGTATATATCATTTCTACTGTTATGAGGAGCTGGTTTGACTTTTCTTACTTATGAATATTTTTTGTGGTTGTTTGTGAATTAAAACTCAATGTAGACAAAATCTAGAACGGTGATCAGGACAACACCTATAAACGTAAACTTTTCATCATGTCAATCAGCTTTGTAATTTCCTACCTGTACTTGTGGTTTCCATGTTGACTGACTGGTTCTGTTGTACAGAAAGATAATCTATAGAGACTTATTCCAGTCTATCTGCAGGTTCTGTGTTAAGGGTCTGTCACACCATAACGTTCTGGTCAGCGTTCTATGACATTTGAGGAAACGTTGGTAATCGTCTGTGGTCGCTGGTATAGCGCCAGAAGAACTTTGTGTAAACGCTGGTGAACACTGGTAATCGGCGGTGATCGGCGGAGAACGCTGGTCCAAAAATCAAGTTTTGAACATGCACAAAAGTTCTCATGGAGACCAGCGTTCTTCAACGTTTAACTTTAAACGCTGGAGAACATTCGTGGAACATTGTACTAACGTTCACCGAACGTTGCCCGCGTTCAGTTATTGTTAGTCAGTCGTTACCCTAGCGTTATACTTGGTTTGTTATTAATCGTTCACAATCTTTGCTTTGCAGTGAACGACTCAACACGCTAGTCTGTCATTAGTCACACGTTAGTCACACGCTCAACACACTTGTGACTAATCCTTCGTTGCGACCGGTGACACGTCAGCACACGCTAATAGTTTTCAGGGGTGTCTTACTTGGTCGCTGGTACACACTCCTCATGCGTTAGTCACATGCCAGATGTGTCCACCTCACCCCTAGAACGCTAAAAAATTGAACGGTTAAACATTCTTAGAATGTTCATTGAACGCTGACCAGAATGTTATGGTGTGATGGACCCTTTAATGATAAATTATCTAGAGACTTCCCGTCTGTCTACAGCTTTTGTGTAAATAATAAATTATCTGTAGATTTCCTGTCTGTCTACAGCTTCTGTGTTAATGATAAATTATCTGTAGATTTCCTGTCTGTCTACAGCTTTTGTGTAAATGATAAATTATCTGTAGATTTCCTGTCTGTCTACAGCTTCTGTCAGTCTACAGCTATTATGTATATGTTAGATTATCTTGGTATTTCCTGTCTGTCTACAGCTATTATGTATATGTTAGATTATCTTGGTATTTGCTGTCTGTCTACAGCTATTATGTATATGTTAGATTATCTTGGTATTTCCTGTCTGTCTACTGCTATTATGTATATGTTAGATTATAATCTTGGTATTTCCTGTCTGTCTACAGCTATTATGTATATGTTAGATTATAATCTTGGTATTTTCTGTCTGTCTACAGCTATTATGTATATGTTAGATTATCTTGGTATTTCCTGTCTGTTTGTCTACAGCTATTATGTATATGTTAGATTATCTTGGTATTTTCTGGCTGTCTGTCTACAGCTATTAAGTATATGTTAGATTATCTTGGTATTTCCTGTCTGTTTGTCTACAGCTATTATGTATATGTCAGATTATCTTGGTATTTCCTGTCTGTCTACAGCTGTTATGTATATGTTAGATTATCTTGGTATTTCCTGTCTAACAGCTTCTGTGTTAACAATCATACATTAAGCCTTTATTTTACTTCATTCCAGATGTTCATTCCTGAGGTATGAGATTGTTATCTTTGGGGCAACTTGTAAACAAGAATGTTTCCAAACCTCATGATCTGTCTATACTATACTGGCTGTTTAGCATATCTTTAGCTTAGTCATTCACTGTTTCTGGTCACATCTTGTGTGAAAACACTATAATTCTTCTTTTGAAATTCACATTGGCAAATAGTTGACAGGAGTTTTAAAGGACTGGGGGGTGTTCAGTGTCATTTTCTGCCTCATCAGGGATTTAGATTTAATTGCTTTATAATATTTGTAATCTGGAATAAATGAAGTATGCAAACGTGAAATTTCAAATTCATTAGACAACTGGTTTAGGAGATGGCATTACAAAGACAGACATATATAAACCTGCATTTTCATAATGAAATGCGTGAATATCGTCTGTTGTGCACTATTCAATTGAAAATTGGCCATTTTGAAGGAAATTAACTTCACACCTCCGCATGCACCAAAGAAATAGCGCATTGGAAAAAATCTGCACCACGAAAGATAGTTCCAATAAACTAGTATGATATTTATAACAGAAATTGGTAAAACAATTCAATTTGAAATTATTATTTTCATGAGGCCAAAAATGACCCATAACACGTACCCAAAGTCCTTTGTATTTAACTTTCAGAAATCAAACTCAATGAAATTAAACTCAAAGTAAGAGTGGTTCAGTGTTGGTCTGTACGAAACTTATTTCTGAAAAAGAACGATGCAGCCATCCGCAGATGCTGGCTGCAAAGAAGTCGAAACATGAAGATGTGAAATAGACAACAATGGTTTTCTGGTCATGTATTATTGAAAATCCCTTTTAAAGCTAAATACAGCTACCTGTAGTGAAGAACGTGTGGACCCACTCCAGTCAACCCTACAACATGTTATATGTATATTTAGACTGTTTGATCTCGATTTCTTCTATAAAACTAATGTTTGTATCATTTATGATATATATACATACTACTGACTATAAATGAACGGAACTAACTGATCTATGCATATTGATACTGTTCTCTATCTATAAGTCACAAACAATTCCTTCAAATATGAATGTTTAACCCACTACAAAAAAATAAACTACTGCATGGGGGTCCTGCTGGAGGTGTTGGCTAAAGCCTCTTCACAGTTCTATTTCATTACTATTGTATGCTGCAAGCAACATGTATGTAGTTATGTTCATTTGCAATTAACAGTTCTAGTAATTTCATTGACTATATAATGGTATAAGGACATCGTAAATCAAACTTGACGGTACCAATACCGATATAGTATTGGCGTTTCCGTTGTGATACTGTTGTTCTACCGATGTTAGAGCCGATGTGCTACCGAATACCATTTTACTGTCACCTCAGTGTTACCGAGGTGCCGCCGTTGTTCTAACAATGTGCCACCGTTGACCGGAGCTATAGTACATCAGTACTACTTCGTGGTATTCGGTAGTTCTACGGTATCACATCGATACCAGTACGGTACACATTGAGACCACCATGCACCGTTCCATTACGGGGCGCTACTGGTACTCTACCGACATTAACCAAGCCATACCGGAGTACTGCCATTGTAGTCCCCTTGCTCGCTCCGGCAGCACAACAGCTAAATTTTTCGATGATGTCCTGAGGATGTACTACAGTTCTTAGCAATGCCGATGCATTGCAGTATTTAAGTACCGATCCCCGAAAATTGCCAAATTTTGTGCTCCGGTATAGCTCCAGAGACCCAAATCGGCTAGGTGTGACAGGCCCTTAAGATGTGTGTCAGCTGGTACATATCTTTATCACATAATGTACAGTGTTATTCAGTGAATATACCTATGTTCTATTTGTTTGGGTTTTAACCCATGTAATATGACCTATCAGCCCTGTGATTGGTTGTAAGTTTCAATTGTTTCAATTGTGATGTAACACCTAGAGGACAAATACATGACCTCACAGACTAATACGCTCTGGAGTCAAAATGACGGCTTTTTACATTTCAATGTTGCATTAAAATTGTTTTACACAAATGATTGCCACAAATCTTGATTATGTGATAAAAAGGTCACTTCACTCATTTTAATTTCATATGAAATTTATGTTACCCAAATTTGACGGGAGTATTATGGTATGGCGTTGTCCGTCCGGCGTAAACTTTTGTTTGTCCGGCAATCTACTCCTACATTTTTCAACCGATCTCTTTGAAACTTGGTATAAATTATAATCATGACATGTTGTTGTGTTTCCTTGAAAGGAATTTTGATTCCACATTTTTTGCAAAAGTTATTGCCCTTTGTTCATTTCAGTATTTGGATTTTTTTATCCAGTGATTTTCTCCTACATTTTTATAGCATGACAGCTAAACACTCTTTGTATGATGCAGATCTTATTTCAAAGTAAGAAAGTATATTATAAAACTATATGGCATTCGACGGGCGTATATTGTTCTGACCCGCGGTACTCTTGTTCATTTTAGCTCGCCAGAGGCTCGCTCAATTGAAAAATTCTTACACTCATTTCATAAATCTATTATGAAATGGAAACTCATGTAAGATCCTATATATATATGTCATATGACACTGGTATAATACTGATACCTATGTGTAAAATCTGTATGACGTTTATGATACACGCCTGTGAAACTTGTTTAATGCTTGTGTGATATGCTTGTAGGACATTTGTGTGATGCTTAATGTGTGATACTTCTAAGACACTTGTATGACATTTGTGTGATGCAAATGTGTGACATGTGTATGACATTTGTGTTATGCTAGTGTATGACACTTGTATGACATTTGTGTGATGCAAATGTGTGACATTTGTATGACATTTGTGTTATGCTAGTGTATGACACTTGTATGACATTTGTGCGATGCTAATGTGCGACACTTGTATGACATTTGTGTGATGCTAATGTGCGACATTTGTATGACATTTGTGTGATACTAGTGTATGACATTTGTGTGATGCTTATGTGCGACATTTGTATGACATTTGTGTGATACTAGTGTATGACATTTGTGTGATGCTAGTTTATGACATTTGTGTGATACTAGTGTATGACATTTGTGTGATACTAGTATATGACATTTGTATGATACTAGTGTATGACATTTATGTGATACTAGTTTATGACATTTGTATGATACTAGTTTATGACATTTGTGTGATGCTAGTGTATGACACTTGTATGACATTTGTGTGATACTAGTATATGACATTTGTATGATACTAGTGTATGACATTTATGTGATACTAGTTTATGACATTTGTATGATACTAGTTTATGACATTTGTGTGATGCTAGTGTATGACACTTGTATGACATTTGTGTGATACTAGTATATGACATTTGTATGATACTAGTGTATGACATTTATGTGATACTAGTTTATGACATTTGTATGATACTAGTTTATGACATTTGTGTGATGCTAGTGTATGACACTTGTATGACATTTGTGTGATACTAGTATATGACATTTGTATGATACTAGTGTATGACATTTATGTGATACTAGTTTATGACATTTGTATGATACTAGTGTATGACATTTGTGTGATGCTAGTGTATGACACTTGTATGACATTTGTGTGATACTAGTATATGACATTTGTATGATACTAGTGTATGACATTTATGTGATACTAGTTTATGACATTTGTATGATACTAGTGTATGACATTTGTGTGATGCTAGTGTATGACACTTGTATGACATTTGTGTGATACTAGTATATGACATTTGTATGATACTAGTGTATGACATTTATGTGATACTAGTTTATGACATTTGTATGATACTAGTGTATGACATTTGTGTGATGCTAGTGTATGACACTTGTATGACATTTGTGTGATACTAGTATATGACATTTGTATGATACTAGTGTATGACATTTATGTGATACTAGTTTATGACATTTGTATGATACTAGTGTATGACATTTGTGTGATGCTAGTGTATGACACTTGTATGACATTTGTGTGATACTAGTATATGACATTTGTATGATACTAGTGTATGACATTTATGTGATACTAGTTTATGACATTTGTATGATACTAGTGTATGACATTTGTGTGATGCTAGTGTATGACACTTGTATGACATTTGTGTGATACTAGTATATGACATTTGTATGATACTAGTTTATGACATTTGTATGATACTAGTTTATGACATTTGTGTGATGCTAATGTATGACACTTGTATGACATTTGTGTGATACTAGTATATGACATTTGTATGATACTAGTGTATGACATTTATGTGATACTAGTTTATGACATTTGTATGATACTAGTTTATGACATTTGTGTGATGCTAGTTTATGACATTTGTGTGATGCTAGTGTGCGACACTTGTATGCCATTTGTGTGATACTAGTACATTACATTTGTATGATACTAGTGTATGACATTTGTGTGATGCTAGTGTATGACATTTTTGTGATGCTAGTATATGACATTTGTGTGATGCTTTTGTCTGACATTTGTATGACATTTGTGTGATACTAGTGTATGACATTTGTGTGATAATAGTATATGACATTTGTATGATACTAGTGCATGACATTTGTTTGATGCTAGTGTATGACATTTGTGTTATGCTAGTTTATGACATTTGAGTGATGCTAGTGTATGACATTTGTGTTATGCTAGTTTATGACATTTGAGTGATGCTAGTGTATGACATTTGTGTGATGCTAGTTTATGACATTTGTGTGATGCTTGTGTGCAACACTTGTATGCCATTTGTGTGATACTAGTATATGACTGTATGACATTTGTGTGATGCTAGTGTGCAACACTTGTATGCCATTTGTGTGATACTAGATATGACATTTGTATAATACTAGTGTATGACATTTGTGTGATGCTAATGTGCGACATTTGTATGACATTTGTGTGATACTAGTGTATGACATTTGTGTGATGCTAATATGTGACATTTGTATGACATTTGTGTGATAATAGTGTATGACATTTGTGTTATGCTAGTTTATGACATTTATGTGATGCGAGTGTATGACACTTGTATGACATTTGTGTGATACTAGTATATGACATTTGTATAATACTAGCGTATGACATTTGTTTGATGCTAGTGTATGACATTTGTGTGATGCAAGAGTATGACATTTGTGTGATGCTTATGTCTGACATTTATATGACATTTGTGTTATGCTAGTTTATGACATTTATGTGATGCGAGTGTATGACACTTGTATGACATTTGTGTGATACTAGTATATGACATTTGTATAATACTAGCGTATGACATTTGTTTGATGCTAGTGTATGACATTTGTGTGATGCAAGTGTATGACATTTGTGTGATGCTGATGTCTGACATTTATATGACATTTGTGTGATGCTAGTTTATGACATTTGTGTGATGCGAGTGTATGACACTTGTATGACATTTGTGTGATACTAGTATATGACATTTGTATGATACTAGTGCATGACATTTGTTTGATGCTAGTGTATGACATTTGTGTGATGCAAGTGTATGACATTTGTGTGATGCTTATGTCTGACATTTATATGACATTTGTGTTATGCTAGTTTATGACATTTGTGTGATGCGAGTGTATGACACTTGTATGACATTTGTGTGATACTAGTATATGACATTTGTATGATACTAGTGTATGACATTTGTTTGATGCTAGTGTATGACATTTGTGTGATGCAAGAGTATGACATTTGTGTGATGCTTATGTCTGACATTTATATGACATTTGTGTGATGCTAGTGTATGACATTTGTGTGATACTAGTGTATGACAATTGTGTGATGCTAGTGTATGACATTTGTGTGATACTAGTGTATGACATTTGTGTGATGCTAATGGGCGACATTTGTATGACATTTGTGTGATACTAGTGTATGACAATTGTGTGATGCTAGTGTATGACATTTGTGTGATGCGAGTGTATGACACTTGTATGACATTTGTGTGATACTAGTATATGACATTTGTATAATGCTAGTGTATGACATTTGCGTGATGCTAGTGTGCGACATTTGTGTGATGCTAGTATATGACATTTGTATAATGCTAGTGTATGACATTTGCGTGATGCTAGTGTGCGACATTTGTGTGATGCTAGTATATGACATTTGTATAATGCTAGTGTATGACATTTGCGTGATGCTAGTGTGCGACATTTGTGTGATGCTAGTGTATGACATTTGTGTTATGCTAGTTTATGACATTTGTGTGATGCGAGTGTATGACACTTGTATGACATTTGTGTGATACTAGTATATGACATTTGTGTGATGCTAATGTGCGACATTTGTATGCCATTTGTGTGATGCTAGTATATGACATTTGTATGATACTAGTGTATGACATTTGTTTGATGCTAGTGTATGACATTTGTGTGATGCAAGTGTATGACATTTGTGTGATGCTTATGTCTGACATTTATATGACATTTGTGTGATGCTAGTGTATGACATTTGTGTTATGCTAGTTTATGACATTTATGTGATGCGAGTGTATGACACTTGTATGACATTTGTGTGATACTAGTATATGACATTTGTGTGATGCTAATGTGCGACATTTGTATGCCATTTGTGTGATACTAGTATATGACATTTGTATGATACTAGTGTATGACATTTGTGTGATGATAATGTGCGACATTTGTATGATATTTGTGTGATGCTAGTGTATGACATTTGTGTGATGCTAGTGTATGCCATTTGTGTGATGCTAATATGTGACATTTGTATGACATTTGTGTGATACTAGTGTATGACATTTGTGTGATGATAATGTGCGTCATTTGTATGATATTTGTGTGATGCTAGTGTATGACATTTGTGTGATGCTAGTGTGCGACATTTGTGTGATGCTAGTGTATGACATTTGTGTGATGCTATATAAAAGCTAGTGTGCGACATTTGTGTGATGCTAGTATATGACATTTGTATAATGCTAGTGTATGACATTTGTGTGATGCTAATATGTGACATTTGTATGACATTTGTGTGATACTAGTGTATGACATTTGTGTGATGCTAGTGTATGACATTTGTGTGATGCTAGTGTGCGACACTTGTATGACATTTGTGTTATAATAATGAATGACACTTGTTTGACATTTTTATTACACTTGGATGTTTTAAAATTGTTTTCCCTGTCATAATAAGTTATCTCATTGGTAAGAAATATTTCATTTTTGGCATATTGGCATTATAATTAATTAGTTGATCGAACATTCACAACTTTTTATTAGACACCAGGTTTTTAATATATTCTTTTATTTATGGTGGTTGCATACTTGAAAAATGATTATATCAAGAAATATTAATGTTTTTAAAATTATTTAACAGGAAAATGTAAGTACATATATATGTATATACCCATCCCTGACATGTTTTTGTTTGTGTTATGATCAGCACCAAGTGGAGGACTTTGCAAAGCTAGCCCCTCGCAGTATACTGTTATTTGAGGAATTGTTGAAGAACAAGTTCTTCCTTCAGTCTCTCATTGGTACCCTAGAGCGACAGAACAAATTCAGCGTCCAGGAGAAGTAAGTACTACACTTAGGCAATGAATGTTTTAGCTAATGTCGTTGTGGTCCTGTTACACACATTGCTATTGATGACAAACATAATAAAGTCTTTCAGAGCTTTATGTAAGTTTGTCAGCAATATCAATGTGTGTTATAGGACCGTAACAATACTTGCTAAAATATTCATTATTTATATTTACATTTTGATAGAGGAGTTACCCTTTATTATATTATTTCGAACAGTTCTTTGTACAGTATAAATTAGGTGTTGACAAAAATGATATTGATGACGTCACAGTAGAGATTGATGACATTACAATAACAAATGCTGTTATAGTCTCATAACAACATTCGCCTTCACAATGCATTACAATGGAAGGATATAAAGCAAATATATCAATATAATTTAATTCAATGGTACACACTGTTTGACATCTTTTTCTAATGTTATAAAGAATGTTTTTATAATGAATGAGACCATGTTAAGTACAAGTATTACAACGTTGTTACAATTCATTGTAGCATGGCAGTGGTTGATGGGTTGTTTTTATGGTTTATTGTTACGAATTATTGTAAGGAGTTGTTGGTACGGTCATCATTAGGGCCCCCGCTCCAGAGATGTTGGTGCACTGCAGTAATTATACAGTCAGTGGTTGTTTGTCTGGGCGTTCACACTTTTGTTTCTGAAAAATTATCTCAGAATCCAATCTTCCTGAAATATGACATGGTCATACACTGTAAAATGTAGATGTGCAATTTAGAAAATTTGAAAGTCAATGCCAGGGTCATGGCTCTTACAATAAGGCTGTTGAAGACTACAGTCCTTGTCTCCAATTCAAAAAGTCTAATCTGTTTGAGATTTTAAATGGTGATACACTGTGATATGTAAATGTTCAATGGAGGTTTAAAAAAAAATTAAGGTCAAGTTCCATGTCAAGGTAACTGTCACTACATCTTATAATAGATAATTGGGGTGGGCTGTGTTACAGGGAGGCACATGACGGAGCCATTGCTGGCCTGTCAGGTTTAATTTCTTGCTGTAAATAGTCACGTTTTGTTTGTTTCATCTTTACGATGGTTGACACAAATCAATGTTATGAGTTATGAACAGATGTAATACAATCAATTTGTTGTTTTATTCAGGGCAGAATTTTCTTCATTGCTGACCTTGACATTGATGGGAAAGATGACCTACATATCAGAGTAAGTGTGACCTAATTAAAATGATAACTGATGTGTATCATCATACAACTTTAACATTGCCGGAATGAATGACCTACTTATCAGAGTAATAGTGTGACCTAATTAAAATGATAACAATACTATATCATCATACAACTTTAACATTGCAGGAATGAATGACCTTCTTATCCGAGTAAGTTTGATCTGATAAATGATAACTATATATATAAGTACATCGTAACCAGAGTAAAATTATTTTTTGCATTTGAAGAGTGATTGAAGAACTGCTGCATCGACTCATTGGTAGAGCCTCTCGTAAACAGCACCGAGTTCTGTTCAGAAGGTACGTATATATAATGGTGTTCATATGGAGGTACGTATATATAATGTCTGGTGTTCATAAGGAGGTACGTATATATAATGTCTGGTGTTTATAAGGAGGTACGTATATATAATGTCTGGTGTTTATAAGGTGGTACGTAAATATAATGTCTGGTGTTTATAAGGAGGTACGTATATATAATGTCTGGTGTTCATAAGGAGGTACGTATATATAATGTCTGGTGTTCATAAGGAGGTACATATATATAATGTCTGGTGTTCATAAGGAGGTACGTATATATAATGTCTGGTGTTCATAAGGAGGTACGTATATATAATGTCTGGTGTTTATAAGGAGGTACGTATATATAATGTCTGGTGTTTATAAGGAGGTACGTATATATAATGTCTGGTGTTTATAAGGAGGTACGTATATATAATGTCTGGTGTTTATAAGGAGGTACGTATATATAATGTCTGGTGTTCATAAGGAGGTACGTATATATAATGTCTGGTGTTCATAAGGAGGTACGTATATATAATGTCTGGTGTTTATAAGGAGGTACGTATATATAATGTCTGGTGTTTATAAGGAGGTACGTATATATAATGTCTGGTGTTTATAAGGAGGTACGTATATATAATGTCTGGTGTTTATAAGGAGGTACGTATATATAATGTCTGGTGTTTATAAGGAGGTACGTATATATAATGTCTGGTGTTTATAAGGAGGTACGTATATATAATGTCTGGTGTTTATAAGGAGGTACGTATATATAATGTCTGGTGTTTATAAGGAGGTACGTATATATAATGTCTGGTGTTTATAAGGAGGTACGTATATATAATGTCTGGTGTTTATAAGGAGGTACGTATATATAATGTCTGGTGTTTATAAGGAGGTACGTATATATAATGTCTGGTGTTTATAAGGAGGTACGTATATATAATGTCTGGTGTTTATAAGGAGGTACGTATATATAATGTCTGGTGTTTATAAGGAGGTACGTATATATAATGTCTGGTGTTTATAAGGAGGTACGTATATATAATGTCTGGTGTTTATAAGGAGGTACGTATATATAATGTCTGGTGTTTATAAGGAGGTACGTATATATAATGTCTGGTGTTTATAAGGAGGTACGTATATATAATGTCTGGTGTTTATAAGGAGGTACGTATATATAATGTCTGGTGTTTATAAGGAGGTACGTATATATAATGTCTGGTGTTTATAAGGAGGTACGTATATATAATGTCTGGTGTTTATAAGGAGGTACGTATATATAATGTCTGGTGTTTATAAGGAGGTACGTATATATAATGTCTGGTGTTTATAAGGAGGTACGTATATATAATGTCTGGTGTTTATAAGGAGGTACGTATATATAATGTCTGGTGTTTATAAGGAGGTACGTATATATAATGTCTGGTGTTTATAAGGAGGTACGTATATATAATGTCTGGTGTTTATAAGGAGGTACGTATATATAATGTCTGGTGTTTATAAGGAGGTACGTATATATAATGTCTGGTGTTTATAAGGAGGTACGTATATATAATGTCTGGTGTTTATAAGGAGGTACGTATATATAATGTCTGGTGTTTATAAGGAGGTACGTATATATAATGTCTGGTGTTTATAAGGAGGTACGTATATATAATGTCTGGTGTTTATAAGGAGGTACGTATATATAATGTCTGGTGTTTATAAGGAGGTACGTATATATAATGTCTGGTGTTTATAAGGAGGTACGTATATATAATGTCTGGTGTTTATAAGGAGGTACGTATATATAATGTCTGGTGTTTATAAGGAGGTACGTATATATAATGTCTGGTGTTTATAAGGAGGTACGTATATATAATGTCTGGTGTTTATAAGGAGGTACGTATATATAATGTCTGGTGTTTATAAGGAGGTACGTATATATAATGTCTGGTGTTTATAAGGAGGTACGTATATATAATGTCTGGTGTTTATAAGGAGGTACGTATATATAATGTCTGGTGTTTATAAGGAGGTACGTATATATAATGTCTGGTGTTTATAAGGAGGTACGTATATATAATGTCTGGTGTTTATAAGGAGGTACGTATATATAATGTCTGGTGTTTATAAGGAGGTACGTATATATAATGTCTGGTGTTCATAAGGAGGTACGTATATATAATGTCTGGTGTTCATAAGGAGGTACGTATATATAATGTCTGGTGTTTATAAGGAGGTACGTATATATAATGTCTGGTGTTTATAAGGAGGTACGTATATATAATGTCTGGTGTTTATAAGGAGGTACGTATATATAATGTCTGGTGTTTATAAGGAGGTACGTATATATAATGTCTGGTGTTTATAAGGAGGTACGTATATATAATGTCTGGTGTTTATAAGGAGGTACGTATATATAATGTCTGGTGTTTATAAGGAGGTACGTATATATAATGTCTGGTGTTTATAAGGAGGTACGTATATATAATGTCTGGTGTTTATAAGGAGGTACGTATATATAATGTCTGGTGTTTATAAGGAGGTACGTATATATAATGTCTGGTGTTTATAAGGAGGTACGTATATATAATGTCTGGTGTTTATAAGGAGGTACGTATATATAATGTCTGGTGTTTATAAGGAGGTACGTATATATAATGTCTGGTGTTTATAAGGAGGTACGTATATATAATGTCTGGTGTTTATAAGGAGGTACGTATATATAATGTCTGGTGTTTATAAGGAGGTACGTATATATAATGTCTGGTGTTTATAAGGAGGTACGTATATATAATGTCTGGTGTTTATAAGGAGGTACGTATATATAATGTCTGGTGTTTATAAGGAGGTACGTATATATAATGTCTGGTGTTTATAAGGAGGTACGTATATATAATGTCTGGTGTTTATAAGGAGGTACGTATATATAATGTCTGGTGTTTATAAGGAGGTACGTATATATAATGTCTGGTGTTTATAAGGAGGTACGTATATATAATGTCTGGTGTTTATAAGGAGGTACGTATATATAATGTCTGGTGTTTATAAGGAGGTACGTATATATAATGTCTGGTGTTTATAAGGAGGTACGTATATATAATGTCTGGTGTTTATAAGGAGGTACGTATATATAATGTCTGGTGTTTATAAGGAGGTACGTATATATAATGTCTGGTGTTTATAAGGAGGTACGTATATATAATGTCTGGTGTTTATAAGGAGGTACGTATATATAATGTCTGGTGTTTATAAGGAGGTACGTATATATAATGTCTGGTGTTTATAAGGAGGTACGTATATATAATGTCTGGTGTTTATAAGGAGGTACGTATATATAATGTCTGGTGTTTATAAGGAGGTACGTATATATAATGTCTGGTGTTTATAAGGAGGTACGTATATATAATGTCTGGTGTTTATAAGGAGGTACGTATATATAATGTCTGGTGTTTATAAGGAGGTACGTATATATAATGTCTGGTGTTTATAAGGAGGTACGTATATATAATGTCTGGTGTTTATAAGGAGGTACGTATATATAATGTCTGGTGTTTATAAGGAGGTACGTATATATAATGTCTGGTGTTTATAAGGAGGTACGTATATATAATGTCTGGTGTTTATAAGGAGGTACGTATATATAATGTCTGGTGTTTATAAGGAGGTACGTATATATAATGTCTGGTGTTTATAAGGAGGTACGTATATATAATGTCTGGTGTTTATAAGGAGGTACGTATATATAATGTCTGGTGTTTATAAGGAGGTACGTATATATAATGTCTGGTGTTTATAAGGAGGTACGTATATATAATGTCTGGTGTTTATAAGGAGGTACGTATATATAATGTCTGGTGTTTATAAGGAGGTACGTATATATAATGTCTGGTGTTTATAAGGAGGTACGTATATATAATGTCTGGTGTTCATAAGGAGGTACTTATATATAATGTCTGGTGTTTATAAGGAGGTATGTATATATAATGTCTGGTGTTCATTTGGAGGTACGTATATATAATGTCTGGTGTTTATATGGAGGTACGTATATATAATGTCTGGTGTTTATAAGGAGGTACGTATATATAATGTCTGGTGTTCATAAGGAGGTACGTATATATAATGTTTGGTGTTTATAAGGAGGTACGTATATAAAATGTCCGGTGTTTATAAGGAGGTACGTATATATAATGTCTGGTGTTCATAAGGAGGTACATATATATAATGTCTGGTGTTGATAAGGAGGTACGTATATATAATGTCTGGTGTTTATAAGGTGGTACGTATATATAATGTCTGGTGTTCATAAGGAGGTACATGTACTGGTTGATCTACAACATGTTGCTAACCTCGATCTGGAGCCATAATTGTCAGGAAGTGAATGCTACAGTCAAATTTGTACATTAGAAACTACTCTTTTTAACTGACAAATCATGAACTACACACATATTCCCCTTGGAATTACAGATGTATATCAGTTCCCATACACAGACTGACATGTGACTTATAAGAGATATTGACATTTCTGAGTCGGGTTCTTGTCGTAGACATTACTTTTACAAATTAATGATGAAACAATTATTGTTTTAGGTCCGACTCCATCACACAGAAACTGCTGTCTAATTGGCTGGCCCTGTCACTGTATCCATACCTTAAGGTGTGTCTTCAGAAAATCCTAATACAAACATACACAGATTGATAAGTATTTATAATTTTAAACATTCTTATTTTTTGAAGACGTTCTATCTACCCACTTTCACCTGATAAGTATACAATATCATTACCTAATGGAATATGGTTTTAGCTCACCTAAGTTCGCTGTCAAGCATCAATATTGTTTGTTTTAAAAATGTTTCTGAATAACCATGAGGCCTTTGGTCAGTAGCATGCTGGAATAAAGTGCTATCAAGTATGTTCACATGAATATAACCTTGACCTAACTTCAAGATCAACAGAGGTCGAATTTGTTAAAGCTATTGAAGTATTTCTGCTGAATAACCAAGAGGTCTTTAACTCATTCACCCCTGAAATTTGATAATAACATTTTCCAACCTTTGAATAAGATATGTCTTCAGGGGTGTTAAGGGTGAATTGAAAATTGACCAATAGGCTGCTGGAATGAAGGATTGAAGTTCAGTTCTTGTTTCCCTTTATCAGCCATGTTTCATACTGACCGGCCAGCCCTTTGTTATTACCCAGGGTATCTGGTGAAACAGATCATCGTATACAAGGGTAACACATATCTACATTGTAGGGTATACAAGGGTAACACATATCTACATTGTAGGGTATACAAGGGTAACACATATCTACATTGTAGGGTATACAAAGGTAACACATATCTACATTGTAGGGTATACAAAGGTAACACATATCTACATTGTAGGGTGGAGGAGGCCAGCAACTCTTCATGTTGTACAAGGCCTCACAGACAGTAATGGAAAAGGGTCCAATCGACGCTGTTACTTTGCAGGCCAAAGATACATTGGCTGAGGAACGCCTCCTGAAGATGGACCTGCAATACGAGTCCCTAGTAAGTTTTTCAAGTACAAGAAGGGTTAACATTGAGTGCACGAAAACTTTACAGTTTCCTGGTAGATTTTATGAGTACTGGTGGGTGTGTACTAGTAGTATGTATGATTACTAGTGAGGGCTGTGTTCACCCTATGTTTGTATTCTTTATATTTGAAATCTGATGTCTCATTATAGTCTCAACGTAAGCTCTTAATTTCACTTTATATCAGAAATTTAACACATGTCTTCTGAAGAGGTTATAGGACTTCAGTCTTCACACACAATAAGTTTCTGTTTCAGAGCTTTGAAAATACAACTTTCTATCAAATTTGTGTTGATTCCTAGTACATGTATATAGTATTAATGTTGGATGATTAAATAGTGACAATTTCTTTCTGTCTAACAAAATTGGGTTGGTTAAAATTTGATCATGTATGCTTCAGACATTGGAGGTGGACTTGAATGGCAGAAAGGAACTGCGCTACATGTGTACAGTGCTGGACTGTGATACCATCACACAGGTCAAAGCCAAATGTATGTACAAAATCTACAAAAACAAGGCAGCCTCTGAACTACATTTTACACCCGATGAGCTGGTCCTAGGTAAGTCATGTAGGTATTACACTGTACAGGTGTGAATTGTCCTCAGTAGGTCATGTAGGTATTATACTGTACAGGTGTGACTTGTCCTCAGTAGGTCATGCAGGTATTACACTGTACAGGTGTGACTTAATTGTCCTCAGTAAGTCATGTAGTTATTACACTGTACAGGTATGACTTGTCCTCAGTAAGTCATGCAGGTATTGCACTGTACATGGCGACCTGTCCTCAGTAAGTCATGTAGGTATTACACTGTACAGGTGTGACTTGTCCTCAGTAAGTCATGCAGGTATTACACTGTACATGGTGACCTGTCCTCAGTAAGTCATGCAGGTATTACACGGTACAGGTTCCTCAGTAAGTCATGTAGTTATTACACTGTACAGGTATGACTTGTCCTCAGTAAGTCATGCAGGTATTGCACTGTACATGGTGACCTGTCCTCAGTAAGTCATGTAGGTATTACACTGTACAGGTGTGACTTAATTGTCCTCAGTAAGTCATGTAGTTATTACACTGTACAGGTGTGACCTGTCCACTGTACATGGTGACCTGTCCTCAGTAAGTCATGTAGGAATTACACTGTACAGGTGTGACTTAATTGTCCTCAGTAAGTCCTGTAGTTATTACACTGTACAGGTGTGACCTGTCCACTGTACATGGTGACCTGTCCTCAGTAAGTCATGCAGGTATTACACTGTACAGGGGTGACTTGTCCACAGTAAGTCATGTAGGTATTACACTGTACATGTGTGACTTGTCCTCAGTAAGTCATGTAGGTATTACCCTGTACAGGTGTGACTTGTCCTCAGTAAGTCATATAGGTATTACACTGTACAGGTGTTACTTGTCCTCAGTAAGTCATGTAGGTATTACACTGTACAGGTGTGACTTGTCCACAGTAAGTCATGTAGTTATTACACTGTACAGGGTGACTTGTCCTCAGTAAATCATGCTGGTATTACACTGTACAGGTGTGACTTGTCCCCAGTAAGTCATGTAGGTATTACACTGTACAGGTGTTACTTGTCCTCAGTAGGTCATGTAGGTATTACACTGTACAGGTGTGACTTGTCCTCAGTAAATCATGCTGGTATTACACTGTACAGGTGTGACTTGTCCTCAGTAAGTCATGCAGGTATTACACTGTACGGGTGTGACTTGTCCCCAGTAAGTCATGTAGGTATTACACTGTACAGGTGTGACTTGTCCACAGTAAGTCATGTAGGTATTACACTGTACAGGTGTTACTTGTACTCAGTAGGTCATGTAGGTATTACACTGTACCGGTGTGACCTGTCCTCAGTAAGTCATGTAGGTATTACACTGTACAGGGGTGACTTGTCCTCAGTAAGTCATGTAGTTATTACACGGTACAGGTGTGACTTGTCCCCAGGAAGTCATGTAGAAATTACACTGTAAAGGTGTGACTTGTCCTCGATAAGTCATGCAGGTATTACACTGTACAGGTGTGACTTGTCCACAGTAAGTCATGTAGTTATTACACTGTACAGGTGTGACTTGTCCTAAGTAAGTCATGCAGGTATTACACTATACAGGTGTGACTTGTCCTCAGTAAGTCATCCAGGTATTACACTGTACAGGTGTGACTTGTCCACAGTAAGTCATGTAGTTATTACACTGTACAGGGTGACTTGTCCTCAGTAAATCATGCTGGTATTACACTGTATAGGTGTGACTTGTCCTCAGTAAGTCATGCAGGTATTGCACTGTACATGGTGACCTGTCCTCAGTAAGTCATGTAGGTATTACACTGTACAGGTGTGACTTGTCCCCAGGAAGTCATGTAGGTATTACACTGTAAAGGTGTGACTTGTCCTCAATAAGTCATGCAGGTATTACACTGTACAGGTGTGACTTGTCCTCAGTAAGTTATGCAGGTATTTCACTGTACAGGTGTGACTTGTCCCCAGGAAGGCATGTAGGTATTACACTGTAAAGGTGAGACTTGTCCTCAATAAGTCATGCAGGGATTACACTGTACAGGTGTGACTTGTCCCCAGGAAGTCATGTAGGTATTACACTGTACAGGTGTGACTTGTCCTCAGTAAGTCATGCAGGTATTACACGGTATAGGGTTGAATCATCATAATTTCCAACAAATTTGACTCCTTTACTTGCGTTAATGTTTAAGATTCTTGGATCTCAAGATGAATCAAGATGAGGGGGTTCATAGACTCTCACACATCTATGACTAGGTATTTAACAAAGTGTAGCAGAATTGATTTGTTGGCTCGACCATGCATCATATGTACATTTATAGGAAATATGTTTTAACAATCTTTTTCTGGTAAAGATGAGTACATATCGCAATAGTCATTGAAACACAATATAAACTTTTCACTGGTTGTGTTATAAGAACCTGTTTACAATCACCTTTGCTGTTAGATAAATGTTTTGAATTAGTCCAGCTGATTTGCTGAGTTCAGAGGTTCAAGATTCAGCGTTACTTCTCTGGTCATATCATTTCTTTATTGATTTTGTTCACACTCCATGCCAAGGGTGAGTTAATTGTGTATGTGTGACGAATAGGAAATATCTTTTCAGAGTGGCATGCTGGGAAAGGTGGTAAATTGGTGTTGAATGACATAGATAGGACAAGTACAAAACGTGAGGGGTATGTGTGCCGTAACACTCTCAAACACTACAATGTTAAAGATGGCAGTTGTATGGCCCTACTGATTTCTGATGAGCCGGATGATCAGGAGCTTTATTGTAAGTTGATTCAAGCTAAAATACCTACCAGCAATCTTACAGTAGTGTATTTGAAATTCCTGTTCATCTATAGTTGATAATGTTATAGCAATTTCTTAAATATGACCCTATCACTGGCTTTTTGAAAAATTCTAAAAGTTCCAGATTGTTTTATGACCAGACTCAATACCAATATTTTCATAACAACAGGTCAATCACTGTCATTTGACCTACAGGGAAATATGAAGATTGTCTGCTTGTTTGGAGAAATATGTTGCTAATAAGTTACTATAAATTAAAAAGATCTAGAGTTTCTTTGTTGTTATATTTTAAAATTACATCTTCTTTCCATTTCACAGATAATACAGAAGCAACTTCAATGAATGATGTTCTGTTGAGTGAGCATAGTATGACCAGTTATATGAGTATGTCACCAGAGAAACAGTGGCACATGGTGAGTACCATGGCAGACAAAGGTTGTGTAGTTCTCAGTCCACCAACAGTTGTGTATTTCTCAGATCACCAACAGTTGTGTAGTTCTTAGTACAACAACAGTTGTGTAGTTCTCAGTACAACAACAGTTGTGTAGGTGTCCAACCAACAACAGTTGTGTAGTTCTCAGTACAACAACAGTTGTGTAGTTCTCAGTACAACAATAGTTGTGTATACATAGTTCTCAGTTACAGTTGTGTAGTTTTTGGACCAAAAACAGTTGTGTAGTTCTCAGTCCACCAACAGTTGTATTTCTCAGATCACCAACAGTTGTGTAGTTCTAAGTACAACAACAGTTGTGTAGGTGTCCAACCAACAACAGTTGTGTAGTTCTCAAACCGGCAACAATTGTGTAGTTCTCAGACCAACAACAGTTGTGTAATTATCAAACCAAAATGTTCGTATTTCTTGATATATAAATATATTATTGAATGAAAAAATTGATTGACCACTTTCCTTATCAGCACTCTGAAATGTCACTTAGCACTTGATATATTTATGATAGGTATTCCCTGAGGAAGATGAAAAGGAAAGCAGGAGACAAGTACTCATTGAAGAGCTGTACCTAAACAGACTGCTGCACACTAAGGTAAGATTGATCAGACTGCTGCACACTAAGGTAAGAATGATCAGACTGCTGCACACTAAGGTAAGAATGATCAGACTGCTGCACACTAAGGTAAGAATGATCAGACTGCTTTACACTTAGGTAAGAATGATCAGACTGCTGTCCACTAAGGTAAGAATGATCAGACTGCTTCTCTCTAAGGTAAGAATGATCAGACTGCTTCTCTCTAAGGTAAGAATGATCAGACTGCTTCTCTCTAAGGTAAGAATGATCAGACTGCTTCTCTCTAAGGTAAGAATGATCAGACTGCTACCCACTAAGGTAAGAATGATCAGACTGCTACCCACTAAGGTAAGAATGATCAGACTGCTGTCCACTAAGCTGAGAATGACCAGACTGCTACACACTAAGGCAAGAATGATCAGACTGCTTTACACTTAGGTAAGAATGAGCAGACTGCTGTCCACTAAGGTAAGAATGATCAGACTGCTGCACACTAAGGCAGACTGCTACACACTAAGGTAAGAATGATCAGACTGCTGTCCACTAAGGTGAGAATGACCAGACTGCTACACACTAAGGTAAGAATGATCAGACTGCTGTCCACTAAGGTAAGAATGACCAGACTGCTGTCCACTAAGGTAAGAATGATCAGACTGCTACACACTAAGGTAAGAATGATCAGACTGCTATACACTAAGGTAAGAATGATCAGACTGCTACACACTAAGGTAAGAATGATTAGACTGTTGTCCACTAAGGTAAGAATGATCAGACTGCTACACACTAAGGTAAGCATGATCAGACTGCTACACACTAAGGTAAGAATGATCATACTGCTACACACTAAGGTAAGAATGATCAGACTGCTTAACACTAAGGTAAGAATGATCAGACTGCTGTCCACTGAGGTAAGAATGATCAGACTGCTACACACTAAGGTAAGCATGATCAGACTGCTACACACTAAGGTAAGAATGGTCAGACTGCTACACACTAAGGTAAGAATGATCAGACTGTTGTCCACTAAGGTAAGAATGATCAGACTGCTGTCCACTGAGGTAAGAATGATCAGACTGCTACACACTAAGGTAAGAATGATCAGACTGCTGTCCACTAAGGTAAGAATGATCAGACTGCTGCACACTCAGGTAAGAATGATCAGACTGCTGTCCACTAAGGTAAGAATGACCAGACTGCTACACACTAAGATAAGAATGACCAGACTGCTACACACTAAGATAAGAATGACCAGACTGCTGCACACTTAAATAAGGATGAGTAGACTGCTGCACACTTAGGTAAGAATGACCAGACTGCTGCACACTAAGGTAAGAATGATCAGACTGCTGCACAATAAGGTAAGAACGATCAGACTGCTGCACACTTAATTAAGAATGACCAGACTGCTGCACACTTAAATAAGGATGAGTAGACTGCTGCACCCTAAGGTAAGAATGATCAGACTGCTGCACACTTAAATAAGGGGGAGTAGACTGCTGCACACTAAGGTAAGAATGACCAGACTGCTGCACACTAAGGTAAGAATGATCGGACTGCTGCACACTTAAATAAGGATGAGTAGACTGCTGCACCCTAAGGTAAGAATGATCAGACTGCTGCACACTCACTAAGGTAAGAATGATCAGACTGCTGTCCACTAAGGTAAGAATGATCAGACTGCTGCACACTAAGGTAAGAACGATCAGACTGCTGCACACTTAAATAAGAATGACCAGACTGCTGCACACTTAAATAAGGATGAGTAGACTGTTGCACACTAAGGTAAGAATGATCAGACTGCTGCACACTAAGGTAAGAACGATCAGACTGCTGCACACTTAAATAAGAATGACCAGACTGCTGCACACTTAAATAAGGATGAGTAGACTGCTGCACACTAAGCTAAGATTCAGCTGATGGCTGCTGATGTAAGCATGAGCAAAGGGCTACTGACAAAGGTTAGGAAGGGCAGAGTGGTGCATACTAAGATCAAGGGAACAACTTGGTCACAAGGTTATTCATTTCTGGGATTAATGAACACAATTGTTGTGAAAATCCATTATAGAATACATAGATGTAATGTTTGATGTTACAGTTAACACTTATAGAACACATAAATGTAATGTTTGGTGTTACAGTTAACACTTATAGAATACATAAATGTAATGTTTGTTGTTACAGTTAACTCTTATAGAATACATAGATGCAATGTTTGATGTTACAGTTATCACTTATAGAATACATAAATGTAATATTTGATGTTACAGTTATCACTTATAGAATACATAAATGTAATGTTTGATGTTACCGTTATCACTTATAGAATACATAAATGTAATGTTTGATGTTACAGTTATCACTTATAGAATACATAAATGTAATGTTTGATGTTACAGTTAACACTTATAGAATACATAAATGTAATGTTTGATGTTACAGTTAACTCTTATAGAATACATAGATGCAATGTTTGATGTTACAGTTATCACTTATAGAATACATAAATGTAATGTTTGATGTTACAGTTATCACTTATAGAATACATAAATGTAATGTTTGATGTTACAGTTAACACTTATAGAATACATAGATGTAATGTTTGATGTTACAGTTAACACTTATAGAATACATAGATGTAATGTTTGATGTTACAGTTAACACTTATAGAATACATAGATGTAATGTTTGATGTTACAGTTAACACTTATAGAATACATAGATGTAATGTTTGATGTTACAGTTAACACTTATAGAATACATAGATGTAATGTTTGATGTTACAGTTAACACTTATAGAATACATAGATGTAATGTTTGATGTTACAGTTAACACTTATAGAATACATAGATGTAATGTTTGATGTTACAGTTAACACTTATAGAATACATAGATGTAATGTTTGATGTTACAGTTAACACTTATAGAATACATAGATGTAATGTTTGATGTTACAGTTAACACTTATAGAATACATAGATGTAATGTTTGATGTTACAGTTAACACTTATAGAATACATAGATGTAATGTTTGATGTTACAGTTAACACTTATAGAATACATAGATGTAATGTTTGATGTTACAGTTAACACTTATAGAATACATAAATGTAATGTTTGATGTTACAGTTAACACTTATAGAATACATAGATGCTGTGTTTGATGTTACAGTTAACACTTATGGAATACATAGATGCTGTGTTTGAGAATGTGTTGGATGAGAAGCGTGTGCCACCAGTGGTTTGCTACCTGTTTAAGATGTTTGAGAACATAGCAAAGGAACACAATGTGGATCCTGACATTGTGTCCCGTTGGAAAAGTGAATGGTAAATATCTTCTAACATGAGCCTATACATGTACAGTATACCATTATCAATAAGGCTCGATCTCTATCTCTGTATCATAGTATCTGTGAATTACTCTTTGTATCAGTAAGTATATATGTCTGTTTCAGTAAGTCTTTTCACCAATAAATCTATGTCTGTATCAATAAGTCTGTCTGAATTAAGTTTTGGGTATTATTTAGTCCATGTAGATATCAATAAGTCTGTATGTCTGTTCCAGTAAGTCTTTTCATCAATAAGTCTATGTCTGTTTCAATAAGTCTATATGTCTGTTTCAATAAGTCTATATGTCTGTTTCAATAAGTCTATGTCTGTTTCAATAAGTGTTTATCAATAACGCTTTTCCTGTTTCTTTAAGTCAATGTCTTTTATTTAAGTGTATCTTAATTAAATAGCTAGTGTGTATATATATATATATAGGTTTATATAAGTTCAAAATGACTCCTACCTTAAACATGAATTTGATTTTTTTATGAGAATTTATTGGATTACACAGTACTTTTGGGACAACATTTTGAAGTTATATAGATTTAACATTTTTTGTGTGACAATATCTGTATACACAAAGCCTTTACTTAAAGTGACACTGTTTAAACTTACAGCTATGCTATGAGGATCTGGTCGTTGTGGATCAGTTGTCCAGACTTGCTTTTTGACATCATCCTGGCTAAGCATGTCATCCCCTGTCTGGATGTCATCAAGTCCATGTTTAGTGATGTATTCTCCAGAACCGATTCCAAGCTTAGCAAAGTACGTTCAACCTTATTTAAACTAACCAAATTCTCCCTGAAATTTTGATTTTGTTTTGCATTGCAGAATTAAAGAGTGACTGTCTATTAATTGTATTGTGGGATAAAACAGTGACTGTATATTGTATTGTAGGATCAAACAGTGACTGTATATTGTATAACAGTATTAAACAGTGACTGTATATTGTATAACAGTATAAAACAGTGACTGTATATTGTATTGTAGTATTAAACAGTGACTGTATATTGTATTGTAGTATTAAACAGTGACTGTATATTGTATTGTAGGATTAAACAGTGACTGTATATTGTAT